GTGAGTCGGCCAACAGCCCAATATTTGGTGGCCAGATATACACATGTCTTTGGAGGAGAAACCAAGCCTGTAACGTTACACCAGAGAGCATACAGATATGTTATCTGTGGTCATGTACAGAATGTCAAATACCATGACATAGACTATGACATAGACTATATCCGCAGTGCTGGGCCCGGTGTGTGTGCCAACCAACTAGAAACATACACATTCACTCACTCACTCACTCACTCCGAGCTGGTGCTGCAGAGCTCGTCTGAACAGCTCTTTTGGTTAACATGGGTAGTGAAGCTTCCGGTTAAATTAACATATAAATCAACCGATAGACCGAAATGCTTAACTGGTCAAAACATTCTCGGTTTGTTGACATCCCATTACAGCCATGCCACCTCCACCCCAACATCCACTTGAGTCTACATTCTCCGTGTGAGGAATTGTATTATTGTCACTCAGTTTCCTTGTGGGGAGTGAATCTGTACATATTCTATATGCACATAATAATCTGTTCCTGACTGCCTTACTTTGCAATGCCATACAACTTAAGGCTGCCTATACTTCGGTGCAAATTTACTGCAGTGCAAAATAGACCAAAGGAGTTTTCACTCATTTTTTATATATTTTTATGATGAAATGCACAGTAATGTATAACAAATTATTTGCAGTGGTCTCTTTGAATCAAATGGCACTTTTTAAAGACCGGTTGTCTACATTATGGATTTGTTTAGCAAAATCTCATTTTCAACACATTTGACTTTACCTTCATATTACCTTGATTTACAACAGTTATGCTTTGGGTTTTGTACTTGATGTCCCAAAAATCCCCTCCTTCTGAGTAAAGTGTTTTATATGAGAGAAGGATAAAAGAGAAGATATGAAAAGAAGCACAGATGGTGCGACCTGGAGGTTAGGGTTCCTCTGACAGACTTCAGACATTTGCTCGCTGAATTTCTCTCTGCTGGTTTGGAATATGACAGGAACCAGATGCAGTGCAAGGCTGAGCTTTCCAAAGGCTGACAGGAGACCTGCTTAATATGACCTTTTATAATAAATCATACATTGGCTGTAGTTTATTTCTCACTACTGGAGGTCCGCCCTAAACAAAGCCAGTGGTCAGGTGAGGTTATTTCTTTATGATGTGTCTGCCCATCATTTCAGTCCGTAAAAACCTGCAATAAAGCAACCTTCACCTTGATGAAATTAACTGCCGGCTTTCAGTGGAGACATTTACTCTCCCTATGGTCTGAACTCGGTTTTAGAGGCTTTTCTATCCTGACAATAGCTTTATTCTAGACATAACATCTAATACCTTTGGGTAAGGAAATGCCCAAATTCACTTATATCAAACAATAACAGGAAATTAACCAGCAGCTTAAAAAACTTTTCACCGAAAATATCATACTTTTCCCATTAATCCAATTCAATACTTGTTCCCAGGTTTTTTCAAATGGCCTTAAGCATTTTTATTCATGTAATTGTTTCATTAAGAGATCAAATATGATGTTGTATTCACATGACAGGGAGTCTCTTGGTGTTATGACAGAAGGTTCCGATGCATGAAGGCAGCATAGCTGTGGTTTAATATGCATGCAGTGTGCTCTCTCTGAAGGTCCAGTGCAGCACAGACATGTTTTTATCTGACACCAGCAACACACTCAGCCTCTTGTTTTTTTGCCTGTTATCACACATGCACTCATGCACAAACACACACACACACACACACACACACACACACACACACACACACCGAGCCTCCTGTCCCCGCTGCTTCTTCCTCGTCCTCCTCTCTCTCATCTCTGTGCACTCGTACCGTGGGTCAGGATACACAAAGACAGAGAGTGAGCAGTGGCAGACACATATACAAAGTAAATTGTTGTCTGGTCTATTGTCTCTCTGAACATCATGGGAGCTGTGTGGCACTTTCTGTGCCAGATGCTTGCTTCCATCTTTTAGTCACAACTGTTGTTTATGTGGAGGATAAAAACAATCCACACACTCACCTGTGCTTGAAATAAATACTGGAATTTTCTTTAATAGAAGACATTAAAATTGATACCCAGATTTTGGCAACAATCACAGATAAAAACACCCACTGTACAGTAAATGTGACTCCACAAATAGTCATTGACATTAGAGGTGCTAACAGATACACAGTCAACTCACAGCAGTGAAAAGATACACAAGATTTGTTTTTCTTTCTTCTTTTCAAATAGCGAAAGCATGATGGAAGTCTTGGAGAAACGGAGCCTTTAAAAATGCTGTCTCAACCTACATTTCTTTCAGGAATAAGTTAGAATGACAGAAACAAGCAAAACAGATACAACACAATCAAACTCAGACTAGCAAACATGGCTGTCTCTGATAACTACTCGGTGTAGGTTTCAGATTCATATTTCTCACCCATGTACAGTATTCAGTCACCTATATGATCAGAAATGTATCATTTTTCACTTACTGCACAGTAGTATAGCTCTATACCCCTGCACATTGGACTTCAAATGAGAGTTTAAGTGCTGACTTTCAGCTTTAAGAGTATTTGAGGGATTAAAAGAAAATCTTGGGGGAACAGTGGGAGTTGTAGCCCTGTACCCTTGGGGGTTAGGCATTCGAAAGGCTACAAGTTCTACACGGTGGTTTGGATGTCAATGTAGTCTGAAATTAAAGCTGAGAGTCAGCATTTTAAAGGATACGGCTGCGATTAGATTTTTCTCATTGTCATCAAATCTCACAAAGACCGAAATCAACAATGCATTAACCCTTCTTGCAATACTTTCTGACTTCTCTAGAGTCGGTCAGCCCGGAGCCTTTTTATTTCGACTGAAGACATAAATCTTTCAAAAACATTTGGTTTCATTTTTTAAAAAGGCTTTACTGAAACAGTTGGGCACTGTAGCTTTAAACCAACGTTATTCAAGCAGGACTAAATAGTCAATGATAATCAACTGCAGATTAAGACAAACTTGGCGCTCTATTGAGTATTTACAACCCAGTCGCCAGAATAAAATTCTGGCATTGTACGTTTCTGCAAACTATGGATACATTGAATCGCAATGTTACTGAACCAAAAATGTTTAACATCCTCATTTCTACATATACTTGTAAATCAACGTTTTAATCGTTGTGCTTTTCGTGCTTCAAGACTGCATTCTTAATTAAGGTTTAGGCAACAAAACTGCTTCCATAGCTTTAGTAAAAGTTCATGTTTTGCGTTAAAATAAGTACATTACTTTTGGTTTCACACAGCACACCTGTTGTTTGACCCCTCCATGCACCAGCCCACCCCTCCTTCCCAGGCGGACTCACGCGGACTATGACTAGAAATGGATTAGTGATAATAAAAAACATACCCAATCCGTGAGCAAATACTTTCCTTTGTTAGTAATTGACAATGCAGTTTCATGATATGGGAACATAGTGGGGGGCATTGTCATACAACAAAGCATACAGGAACAATTCTGGGCTGATAGGTGATTTTGGATCTGTGGTCACATTCAATATTGAGGGATTATATAACCCATGTGTTAAACACATTTTTCTGAGCACCACAAGCACCAAAAAGATTATTTGTATTATAAGATTTTGATCCATTAGGCATAATTGGAAACGTCTTGTATCTTGTATAACAAGAACATGATTTCAGGCTGAATGAATAAAAAAATTCAGAGTCTGCTATCAGGCGAGGGATTTGTTAACAATAAGAACAATATAGAATATTGCCAGCCTCATCCTTTAACTTAAAGTCTTAGTTGAATGCACAGGAGTAGGCAAAACAAAACTGTCAGGGCATTTAATTTAAGACCCGACTCTCAACCTTCTGATTACATTTAGGACATAAATATCAATAAAGGTTCTGTAAAAGCAATGTTATTTAGCTTTCAGACACAGCACGTTGAGAGAGAGGTATACGTCCATTTGTTTTGGAACAGGCACTAGTACTGTAAGAAGATGTCTCTACATGGCACACACTCCCATAGGTTAATTCATTTTACAACACAATACAGATACAGATATTTCTATATCATGATTTAAGACAAGTTCTCCTTAAAGTTCATAATCAAAACATCACATTCAAAAATGTAGTAGATTCACAGAAGAGACCACTGAAAAGGTTGTAATTTGTGCAAGACGAGGAAAGTATTTTCACAAAGCAACAATACTGAGCAATCTTTACATTGATTATATATTGCAGAGGCTGTTCTTCGCTGCAGTTTAGTGGGTTTATACTGGCAGGGTGCAGTTCTTTTGACCCCGCAAAGAGAATTTCTCCTAATATACTAACACATATGACGCTATTTACTCTGGCTATAAAGCATCACCCATATGTGTACATAATCTTATAATTAACATTTATTTTCTCAATGAAGAGCACATGTGTGAGTAATACATCAGTGAATGTAAGGACACTACCTATGTTTGTGCGTGGTACTCTCAAAACTACTCAGGTCACTGTAACAAATAAGTGCACTAATCTTTTCTCTCCATCTCATGCACACAAACGCATACGCTTCAGCACGCACCCACGGCCCTGATGTGGTAATCTGTATATATTTCCCCCCATTTAATAACGAGACTCACAAATATATGGGCATGCGCCTGTGTGCGAGGTACGCTTCTGCGTGTTCGGCTGGTTGCCCTCTTCACTTCTATGCGGTAATTAGCATGATTGGAGAGCGAGGAATGGATCGAAACACAGGAAGAGATGGTGCTGATGAGGCTATTCACCCCGCTGTGTAGCCTGCCTGGCGCCTCTCCTCAGCAACAAGCTGGCATCTTTTGTCTCCATCGCTCCAGCTCTCACCAGCCACGGCTGTGTGTGTGTGTGTGTGTGTGTGTGTGTGTGTGTGTGTGTTTGAGAGGCAGAGAGAGGGAGCCAGCCGTATGCTCATTTGAAGAGCACTCAAACAAAGTTGATTACACATTCATTAAAGCCACAGGTTCTCGTTCGCTCTCTACTTGACCAGTCCAAGTGATGGTAGGATGAGGGGACGTACTCTGCATTCAGGACACAGGGGGTTGGATTATTCATGGATTGCTGGCTATGATTAGGGTACTGTGGTCAAATGAAAAATAAATGAATAAAAAGACAATGAGGTGATATAAAAGTCTTTTGGAGTCTAAGTTCACTCTACTTCTATATTCCTCTCACTAACTCAGCCAGCTGACGCTACATTATAATGGATACCACGAATATGTTGTGTCATATTATGTCTGTCATCTGCCCCTGTAATTAAATTTGACAGGCTTCGTTGAGATTTAAATTCAATATGATATTTTAACATTGCACTGACAAATCACATCAAGATTAATTTCACTTTGCAAGGTTGGTTTGTGTGACTGAATCACATCCTCTGCCTTTGGGTTAAAAAAAGGAAAGTGGTGCTCTACACTTACAGTAAACACACACACACACACACACACACATACCCAAACATATTTGTTTCACTATCCTTGTGAGGATAGTGATACAAATATGAGCTAATTTACATGCAGACAAGGAACATGTTATCCAACTCACTGACATCATCCAATCAGGGCAGGAGGCATCAAGGGTGCAGGTCTTGTTCATAATGTAATCGAATAACTATGTTCTAATAACATCAAGGGCACTGCTCTTGTTCTCTCCCAGCTGACTCTCTTTGTGGCTCTGTGGTTGAATTGTAATGATCCTGAGAAGGTCGGCTGCCTTTGCAGATGCTCATTAAGATATACAATATCATTTTAGGCTGATTTGCATCTTTGGATGCTTCTGCCCGAAGAAGAACAACAGAGGAAAGCTATTGCTTGAAGGTCAAGTCATAGTGTGTCACTGCTGTTGCCAGGAGAAGCTACAGGTTCTCTTTTCCACGTTTTTAAATACATGAAAATACCCTGTGGTTATTTCATAAAGAGATTTATGTATTTTTTATATACTTATACTTAATTATGTACTGAAATCAAGTTTTTATGGGCTTTAAACCACCAGTATCCTACTAATCCACCGAGATGATGTGATGCTGCTAACAATAAAGTACCCAGGCTGTATATAACAGAAAGAACCAGAGTCTCTGTGTTCACTTGCTAAACACAGTAATATATTTGGTTGATGATACGTCATTAAATAGCATCTAATGATGAAATGATATAATCATTCATCATTCAAGAATCATCAGGGCAAACCCATTATCCTACTATGTGTATTATAATTGCAGTGAAAGTTCTTATTCCCCAAAACTTCTTCCCTTCAAATAGGAAGTCCCACACTATCACTCAACATGGTGTATGTTAAATTGTTGGCATGCCGCATCGAAGCCAGAGATCTATGCTCTTAATGTTCTCATCACTGAACTGATGACCCAAAAGCTCTGTAGGACGTCTCACTTTCATATTCTAGCCTCTGTGAAAAAGTGGAATGTCATGTTGATGACAAGGCGTTTCTTTTAATGCCGTCTGTTCTATGTCCATTTTATTTTTGCTCTGAATGTGACCGCCTGTTGTCCCTGCACCATGTTTGTATTTAAGCGTTAGCTGTGTGTCCATGTCGCCGAGACAAACTTCTGTTAGTGTTATGCTTCATATAATGTTTCAATGATTCAAATACATTCGTGTTGCTTCTCATCTGCTGCTCAGTTTCATGTCAGCTGACACTGGAATGTATAACAACAGCTTTTGAGAATAGACCAGGAGTCATGAGGTGACTGTAGTGTGTGTGTGTGTGTGTGAGAATGTAGAATGATGGGTGACAACTCTCTGGTTGCGTGTGTATATCTATCTTTAAAAAAGGATTGAGTCAATATTTTTCAAAAACGTTTCAAGACAAATGTGACTTTTCATTTAAATACTTTGCAAAGAGGGTTGCACCAGCAAGGATAGATTTTTAAAAATGAATAAATCATGGTTAAGACTTTCAATCGTGTCGCAACAAACTTTAAAACTAGCTAATCTAAACCACAACGTTAGTTTTTACTCTAAATTCAGCTGCATCAGAACTTTAATCTCCAATTCAACATTTAATCCAGAATCAACTTTACACTTAAAGAGGTTTAACTTTTATGGCTGCCTTTGTCAGATGTATTGAGCAAAATAATCAAGTTCTGTGAAGAAAGTTATAGGACAGACTCAACTCAATTGAATTTCCTCCAGAATACCGGTTCACAAAGGAACCTGTTATTGAGCTGAACAGGAATATTGGACGAACAGGTACTCTCTTTGTGCTGTGGTCCATTTTTCATCCTCTATTTTTGGCATTATTTTTGGCAAACTTTGTAGCTTGTTCTGGTCAGCCGAAAGATATTGAATTGCATCAAAATATGTAAATCTTAAGGATTTAGTAATTAAACTCACTCCAGGATATTTGTACTATTCTGGCTTCCATTAAACTGTTACAAACTATGCATGGAACCATGAAGTGATTGTCATGATATGAGTTGAAACTAATGCAGTTATTTGCCACTGTAGTACAAAGACAAGCTTCATATGTTTTCACTAAAAACCTCACGTCAAGCTTACCAATTTTTACAGTAGTTATGTTTGTGTGTGTACCTATGTGTATGTGTGTATTTTCCACCATAGAAGGTTAAGACAGTATGTCCTATTGGGCTTCCGTAGGCCCAGTTACCTAACCAACCTTTTCCTGGACCCCTGCAGAGTGAGCGGCGTCTCTGCTACCCTCGCCCTTTTACAGACAATACGTTGCACAGCAAGGCACATCGCCTCACATTCGAGAGCTATGGCGAACAGGCTGCCTGTGCACATTCTAGGCTGCGACATCTACAAAGCCCTTTAAACCTGATACTAACATGCAACTCGTGTGAGTGGATGGACAGCATATAAAATATGAATATTTAAGAGAGGCGAAGATCTGATCACCTCAACTACGTGCAGAGGAGGTCAGACATGACTTTAGCCACATTACCAAACACAGAAATACCAAGAAAAAGCACACAAATGAAACAGGTGACAAGAAAATGCAATCCAGCCACATCACATTAAGTCACAGAGTGCATGTTACTGCCAGGTGGAAGGGTAGAGCAGCTAATGAGAGTTATATGAACATTTCCCAGTTTGAAAGTGTGGCCTTGTATTCAGATCATGAACCAGTGTCATGTGTCTTATAAAGGTGGAGCGAGCAACACAGACAGGGAGCTGAGGCAACACTTATTATATTAAACTGTATTGATTCTATGGGAAACTGGAACATTTCGTCTGCTCTCTATTGCAGATCGATCTCTAAGCTACACACCAGTGTTGCTCGGGTGCAGTGGTGTCACAGAAAACAAAATCTGGGGTTGAGGTGTGAATGCATCTTCAGCATTTGGAGCTCCTCTACGTTTCAGAGATGATGCTTTCAGTTGTTGAAGTCAATGTTTAGCTCGATGAAAGCTGAGCCAGGTGTTGCCTGCGTTTCAGGTGATTGCTGAACTTTTCAGCACGCCTGCAGGGGATCCTCCATTTCCTCCATTAGAGATGTAGCGGTCTCCACACCCCGTCTCCTCGCAGAGAAAACCTCTGTTAAAACAGAGGAGCCGTTGCGTTCACAGCATGCTGGTCTCATGTCATAGCTCCGCTCCAAAATAGACTATGCGAAGTCACACAGCATGTGTGACTGAGGATGTGTGAACCTTCACTCTGCTCTGAGAGAAGGCTGGTGTGACAAGCAGAGGCTCTGAAGATCGGAGGTGCTAGCTTATGCTTCAGTTTAGCCTTTGAACTGGAATGTGCTCATGTCATCAAAGTGCTCTTCATCACTTTTTTTTTTTGAGCAAACCTTTCTAATGGCAGTTGATCATTTACAGCGAGCAGCATGAGTCCTTTTTACAAGGGTGTTGTGGGTGACGACAGCAATCAGTGAACAGCAACTTGAGAGTCTCACTTGCAAACGACCTAACACGATGTTCCAGTGAAATCACTAGAAATGCATTCATCAAAAACTTCCCCACAGTCACTGGCAGACACACACTGTTCTTTTGCATGAACACACACACAACCAACTCACTCTCTCTCCCTGCTGTCTGGCAAAATGCCACCTTCGTGTGAAGTCTATTCCTGCAGGTTGTTACTCGAGTAGAAACTGGACGTCTCCGATACGGTTTTGGAGACGCTCCGGGACGATGACCCATTCGACGTGAGGTCCACGGAGGAGTTATGTGGTCCGGCTCCCACCACAGCCCCACCCGGCCGTGGAGCCGCTATTGCCTTGACCTTGGGCTGCTCCATGTCATCCCCAACCTGGAGAACAGTGGACACGGTGGTCTCCATCCGGCTGGCCTTGTAAACACTTGTCTGGGTCTGAAGGTAGCGAGTGGACTTGAGCTCCAGGCCTTCGTAAGAGCCTCGAGGGACACATGGGCAGAAGCGGAAAGCTTGTTTAAAACCAGCACGAAACCTGAGAAGCAAAGATGAGTCCTATTTAGTCTGCCAATAAAAAAACAGAATTACAGACAGTTTGACAAAGGACTGGCTGATACAGTGTAGGTCTCCAGTGGCTCATAGAGATGTAATGTAAAATAAGGTAAAGAGCAAAGACTGTGTAATTGTTTTGATTAACACTATATGTTGCATGTGATATTTAGTGACATTTATTCAAAGACTCATTTTACCAGCACTTGATGTTTAGCATGACATTAACCACAGAATGAAGAGATGATAGAAATAACTATGACTCAAGACGGGGGGAAAAGAAAAATGTCAATCGCTGAGAGCAGGAGAGAGATAAAAAGAGATTGCTTGAGAATGAGAGGAAAGGGCCATCATCACGCCTTAGAATATAAATCGACTGAGCCGATAGAGACAAAAGCCGGCCGTTATCTTAAACAGGATGATGACTAAACCTCAGCTCACTGCAGTCCAACCCATATATTTTCATTTTTTAAATTTGTTTCTCCGACAATACAGAGACAATTAACAGGTGGACGCAATGCGACACAGTGGGAGATGATTAATTAAAGCCAACAAGCAGAGTCGACCATCTGCCTTTATTTTTTACAAATGACGATTCATTCATCTAAATTCATTGACATTTTTGTTGACAGGCATTCCGCATATAGCGCCACATGTTGACAGTAAATTGTTGGTGCTCACAGTGGGATTCAGGCAGTTTCAGAGATTTTAAAGTTTATTCTAACTTCAGAGAGTTTCTTTCCAGAGAAAGCAGCCTCCCTACTGAGTTGTCAACTGCTTGTCACTAAGGCAGCAGTAGAGGATTTGGTATTGCTATGTGATGAGTGTACCTGAGTGTGTATGTGTGTGTGTGTGTGTGTGTGTGCGTGTGTGTGTGTGTGTGCGCATGTCACTAAGGGACACTATGATTGCTGCTGAACAGAACAAAACAGTTTTCCCTGCTGAAAAGTTGGGGAACAAAATTCTCACTGTATTTGATGATCTTTTAAATGTACTATATTGGGATTGTAATGAATAAATAGTGAGATGATTCAATTCATGAAGTTATGAATAGTGTAACGAAACAAGGGAGGAAATTAATTAGTAATAATACTTTAGCAATTATTTACATGTTCTGCAAGTACTCCAGTATTTAAATAATGACCCAAGTCTTAAATACCATCAACTACAACTTGAATAAAAATCAGTGCTTACCAACAGTGCTGTCATTTACAAGAGCTTCTACTTTGCTGCACTTTCATAAGAAAAGTAAAGTTAGTGATACTGAAACACGTTCTGCAGATGTTTAACACAACTCTTGTAAAGTACCCCATGCTTTATTCACTGCATTTAATTCTTACCTTTTGTCTATCATCAGGGTGGTGTCTTACAAATGAATGACGGCTATCCATGTGTATGAAGAGATGGAGGATATTCAGATTTATAGTTAGTGTATTACAAATGGAGATTGTTCTCCATTTCTAGATCTAAAGAGTATTTTGAAAAGTTGGTTCTAATGAATTATGCTTTGTATTTATGGACATATTTATATGTGTAACATCTGTGCAGGAAGTGTTGAGTTGTATTGACGACAGTTTTAAGCAACAGTCTTAAAAGATACAGAAACCATATTAGATGCTTTAATGTCATCTTGCCTGGATTACTGTAACAGCCTTTTTAGATGCCGAAATAGCAAAACTGTAGACCGACTTCAGACAGTACAGAACTCAGCTGTCAGGCTTCAACACATCACCCCAGGTTTAGCCTCTTTACACCGGCGTCCAGTACGTTTTGGAATAGTTTGCATGGTTCTTTTAGTTACTTACACAGGCCTTAATGGTCCGTGTCCTACATGCTTATCAAATCTTTCATCCCTGTACAACTATGCTCATGAGATCATCAGGCAGCGGCCTTCGATCTATTCCAGTCTCTCTGCTGAAGACTACAGGGGGCAGAGCTTCTGAGATAAGAGCCCCAAGGCACAGAAACACCCTGCAGAGGAAATAACGCAAGTTGAGTCAGTGGCTTCTTTTAAATCTACGATCTAAACATACTTTTATCTAACTGCCCTCCATGATTTCACCTGATTCTACTTTTTATTCTGTTTTGCTATTTTGATTTGAATGTTTTTGTTTTTTTTTAACTTATATTCTGTTTTGATGTGTTTTTTATTTGTTTTTATGTGGAGCACTTTGTTACTTAGTTTTCATAAGTGCTATATAAATAAAGATATTAACAGCAAACGTACAAATTAATGAATTAGTGAGAACAGTATAATATAAGCCAGGCTCAAATGGAGGCATAGTTCTCTCTGCAGTTGAGGTGAATGTTTTTGAGATTTTCCAGTAAAAGAGTAATATGATACATATTTATGTGTGTAGTTGCTGACTGACCTGTCGTTGAGGCAGCAGTAGATGATGGGGTTGTACATGGTGGAGCTCATAGCCAGCCACATGATAGCCAGGTAAACCTGCTGGATAAACCTTTCCTGCCATGTTTTTTCAAATATGGCAGGAAAGACCTGGTGCAGCAGGAAGAAGACGTGGTAGGGCAGCCAGCAGATGGCAAACGTACACACCACCACGATCATCATCTTCACCACCTGTTGGACACATGACAACAGCGTTTCGTCTTCATTTTTGTTTCCCTGTCCATTGTGGATTTCGGCAGTGTCCATGTACTCTTCAGACTAGATCAGAACGGATGAAGGGCCGGAGAGTTACAAGTTGGCCTCTCAAGTATTATATTATTTTTTTTATCGCAAAAAGCCTTTATGCTTTAAACAAATGTTGCAGGTTATCCAAACACCTCAGTACAATGATACTGTCATAAAAGATTCAACGGGATACCTGCTCTGTAAATAATTCAAAATACATATAAAACCTGTCCAGGAAAACCATCAAACACAACAAAGTTACAGCAGTTTTGGGATGAGGCATGCTGCACTGCATTGATTGTCTCCCCTGTGGACTTCTCTCCTTCTCCTTTCTGTAACGAGCCTCTCTGTTGCCTCCACAAGTGGCAACAAATCCGTCAGTCCAGGAAAAGCTTTGAACTCTCTGTCCGTCAAAATGGAAATCTAATACTCACGGGCACATCATTTGCGATGTCAATAACAGACAGTGCTTACTGGCAATGAATTGAAAATAATGTACATGGACAGCCATAAAAGATCTGAGAGGCTGCCTCATTAGGAGGTGGACTGGTGTCCTGCACATGTAACATGATCAAGGGATTTCTACAATCGCAAAGGAAGTCTGGAAAGTGCGAGTTATTTTATTTGAAAGACTGTTAAAAGACTGAGATTTCTGCCCACCACAGCTGCTGATAAACCAATCATAAATGTTCTTTCTCCAATGTACAAGTCTCCATCATGTGGTTGTATGGCCGGTAGGAGAGAAGAATACTAGGAGTCTACAGCCATGCAGACTATGTGAGGCTGTTGGCATAGTGATGCTTTGGCTGCTAACATCAGCATGCTAACAAGCACACGGTGAACAAGCTAACATAGTGGTGTTAAGCAGATATGTTTACCATGTTCACCTTCTTAGCATAAGCATGTTTAGCATGCAAGCATACTACACAGAATACAGCAAAGGGTGATGGGAATGTATTGCAGCTTTTTGTTCATAGAAATTAAACTTTTGGCCTGATGATAGTGGGAAATGAAAAAAGAGAGGATCTCCAAAATTATAATATAATTCATCCTGAGGGGGACATGATGGTTTGTACCAAATTACATGACAATCCGTCCAATAGTTGTTGAGATATTTCACTCAAAGCCACAAATGTCAACCCCATCACCAAAATCACTAGGATACATCCTCTGGGGAACATGAATGTCTGTACAAAAATGAATTGCAATCCATTCAATAGTTATATTAGATGGATTTGATATCTCATTCTGGAACAAATGCATACCAACTAGCCGACCCACTTTGCCATCCATAGAACTATGCTGCTAGCTTGGCTAAATTAATCAAAGCCATAAATTAAAGGAGCGATCCAAAATACAGAAAACTAAAATGAAACAGAATGAAATAAGATACAATGCTTCAAAAATATCTTTCAAACTATATTCACGGACTGACCTGCGGGGTCTGATCTCATCAGTGCAGAAACACATGTGTGAGATTGTCATTTTATTTTCTAGGGTGAGAAAAGCATGTCTCTGCAAGTGTCTTGATTGGAAGAGTATTCTATCAGGAGTAACAACACTGAAACTGTGAACACACCTGATAGGCATGGGCCATGAAAGATGACCAAAAACAGAAGATCAAGAGACCGTGGTGGGCTGAAAAGACAACAGGTAGGCTGGAAAACCAGCAAAGAAGAGAGGATGAAAGAAGAGAGGGCTGTGTTTCAGGGTCATGGTGCTGTGATGATAATTCCATCACTGGAAAAATACAGGCAGACATCGACATTGCAGCCATGTCCTGTTCAGCGCTGCAGTGTACAAAAGTGGATATGATGTGGTTGGATTAATCTTATTAAACTAGTTTGTAATCCAAATACTGTGGCGGGTTACCTTGCGCTTGGCGATAAGCTGCTCCTTGTAGCGGTCAGAAGAGTCTCCGGGGATTTCGCTGGCCCAGAGAGTCAGTCCCACCACCAGATAAGCACAACCCATCACCAGCAGTGGAAGAAAATAGATCAGGATGGCCACGCACACATAGTACCTACAACAAGACATACATCCCATATCATAATTATATCAAATGCATATTTTTTGACTAAAGTACAGAGAGACTCAAGTCACCGTTACCGTGAATATAGTCCTAAAATGACACTTGAATAGAGCACCAGGCAATTAAATATGTTCCAATACCATTTCTTACATCCAGATACCGATTACGATTCCTGAACTATAGTGTGTCGCCCGATATCGGGTATTGATCCTTTACCAGTGTGTTGTAAACAAAAACTAAATACATTTTTAGAAGATTAGATTTGAACCCATCATGATGGTTTTAGTTTAAATTGTCCTTCCTCCAATACTCTTTTTTTTTTTTTTTAATAGCGCTTGAAGGCATCCTAATGTAACTCAATGCATCCTCCGTTAATGTTAGCTGTTAGTTCTGACATTTAGCCAAGCAGGACTGCTGCCCACCGGCTGCTAACAGATAACGTTAACTAGCTGTCCCTATGCCGATTTTAACAGAGATTTGTTGTTCACAATGTAGCATTATCAAATACAAAATAGGGTGTACAAGAGTGTTTAACCACAGGTGCATAGTACTAGTTTGCACATGTGCATTACAATTCAGGAAGGATGTAAGAATTGAGTAGAAAGTGAGCCTAAATGAGCTAATAAATGGTATAACTTGACAAGTAGTGCACAGGGAACTTAACAGCTGCATGCTCCTCGAGAAATGATGCTGAGATGACACTGACCAAAACAGGTGCATTAGCTTAACTAAAATGTGCTAATTGGTCTGAAGAGCTTAGGGGAACTGCAGTCAGGTGATAATTATCTGTAGGTTGTCACTACGAGTGACCCCTTTCACATCACAAGTAGTTCTTTCATCCATCTTTAATATAAAAATATTTGTTATAGAGCTTTAAGAAAGGGTATGCTGATATTGCGAATCCCAAAGATAAGTATCAAGGACACTGGTATCACCAGACAAAGGATTCAATAACAAGACCTGATACACAGAGAGGTTTCAATAAAAGGTCTTTCCTTGATGGCAGGGTCTGATACACAGATAAGCTTTCCAAAAAAAAAAAAAAAGCTACCAAATGTATCCAAAAAAATAGGCAAATGTCAGTCAAAAGATACTGAAGAATGATTAAATAAACACTAGGAAATAAATAAGGAACTAGAAAATGCATTTCCTGCTGAAAATGCGTTGGAATGCTGAAAGCTGAAATTAATTGTAAAAACATTGCTGAAAATTAAGAAATGGGAGACAACCCGTCTGGAAAATGTTGAAGCTCGAAAGCATTTAAACTGCACTGCTGAAAACCCTTCTAGTTGAAATGTCTAACTATGGTGTCTGTAGCTGAAAGTATGAGGAAGAAGAAGGCTTTGAAAGTTGAAGAAGTAACAGAAGAAACAGGATTTGAAGATTTTCTCCATAGAAATCCCATTAAAAAAAAATTGCAAATACCTTAATATTTCAAAGAATTTAAAGATTACAAATATGAAGTCATATCACCCTTCTCCTAAAAGAGCTGAACATTTTGATATTCAAACGGTTTCTGTGGCTTAAAAAACATCAGCAGTAGTGATATTTGTAGTAGTAGTACTAGAAGTTGTAGTTGTAGTAGAAGTATCATTAGTAGTAGAAGTATTAGTATTTAGAAGAAGCAGTAGAAGTAGTATCAGTAGTAGTAGTAATAGCTGTAGTAGTGGTTGTAGTATTTAATATAGTAGAAGTAGTAGTAATAGTAATGGCAGTATTTGAAGTAGCAGTAGTAGTAGTACTAGTAGCAGTCGTACTAATAGCTGTAGTAGTATTAGTACTGGTAGTAGCATGAATAGCAGTAGTAGTAGTAGCAGTTGTAGTATAAGTGGTAGTAATAGCAGTAGTGGTAGTAATAATATTGATGGTAGCAGTAATAGCAGTAGTAATAGTAGCGAGAGAGAGAGAGAGAGAGAGAGAGAGAGAGGTATGTGTCTGTGAGTCTGTGTTTATCAACATTACTAATTAGCTTAATCAGAAACACCTGTGTCCTTGCAGCCTTTTCATGGAGATAAAACAGGGAAACACCTCTCAAACAAATCCTCAAAACTCCCATAACCGTAGCTCCTATTGCTCCGATATTAATAAATGAGAGGAAGGAAGAGTTGAAGAACAGATCCTGTAAAGATTGTGTCTGTAGTGTAAAAAATGTGGCTTAACTGGCGATCTAGAAATGGGGTACCGTGTTCTGTGGAAGATGTTTTTGAAGCAAAATTTAACATTGGTCTCTATGGAGCAGAAAGTTGGTTTTCCTCTCAATTACAGGCTTCTGTGCCAAATGTGTAAATCTGTGGGATTCCACAGTCATTTGTCTATGACAAGGACAAGATTAGCTACTTTTAAATCTATAAATTATTCATGAAGAGTGAAGATTGTGGACTCAGTGGCAAAACACAAATGTTTTTTTCACAAGAATCTCAAGCTGCTCTTCACTCTAGCGGTGACATAACACACTCTAAGCTGCGCAATACACACCCATTATAAAGTCAGAAAAGGACTGGAAAAATCATAAAAGTTTAAAAGATATCAAAAAGCTGAATTATGCGGCAATAGCTCAAGGTTTTTTCAACATTTTAAAGTTGAAATGGTGTCTGTAGCTGAAAGTATGAGGAAATAGAAGGATTTCAAAGTTGAAAAAGTTTAAGAGGATTTGAAAATATTCTCCATAGACATCCCTTTCAAAAAAAAAGCTTAATAATTCAAAAAGCATAAGAGATAGAAATATGAAGAGATATAGCACACACTCCTTAAAGAGCTGAACATTTTGATAGTTGAACGGTTTCTGTAGCTTAAAAATTAAGAAGAGGAAGAGGTTTAATTGTTAAACAGCATTCCAACAATTAAAACAGATACGAGACAATTAAAACAAATACGAGACAATTAAAACAGATACGAGACAATTAAAACAAATACGAGACAATTAAAACAGATACGAGAAACTGGCACTGACGAGAGGAGCAATGAAACGAGGGTGATAACGAGGGACAGGTGACAGCAGAGCTAATGAGGGACAGGTGAAAACAATCAGACAGTCACAAAAGCTAGAAACACACAAGGGCAGAAAGTAAAGAATCTGAAACAAGAAAGGTGAGTATACCAAAATAAAACATTAAATGATAACTGTAAATTAGGAAAACATAAAGTAAGAGCAGAGCTGGACATGACAGTAAGTCCTTAGGGCAATGCCCAACATTCAGTTTGTTTATTTTAATGACGTTCCAGTGGGAGTTAACAGAAGGCTTATAAATTATTTTTTTTAATACCTGCCAATTCCCCTTATCTCTGAAGCACTAATGCATCAAGTTTGAAAGCAAAAAGTTACTAATTCAAGTCAAGGGTGGAATCAATCATCCTTAGTGTGTTTGCTAAAGGACAGATAGATAGTTTTGCTTTGTGACATGATTAAAGATGTGTGGGGTATCAATTCGACTCCCGCTCCAAGAACTGTCCAATGAATTTAAACCCTTGATGAAGTACTTAAATATGACAGTTTCAGTATTTTGCTAATGATTTGGTAATCTAAGACTGACACACCATTTGATCCTGTTGAATCCCTGTCCAGTGTGTGTGCAGGTTAATAGAGGTGTTGTTGTCTGTTTATATGCATGTGTGTGTGCATATTAATGTCCGTTAAAATGTGGCAAATTGTATCACATCAGTATTTTAACCTTGTTCAGAGACGGAAGACCCCCTGACTCCAGCATCCACAGAGGGACAATCAGTTTTCCCCTCTGCGGACGCTGCAGATGAGATTCACGGGCCATTTTCTTGGCAATTATCTACAATTATGTTAATTCCGTTTAATACCTGGGAACTTTAATCAGACAAATAACCACACACTGAGAAACACATACATACAGATACACTGCAAATAAGATATGTTACCTGCTCAAGGGAGAACATAGTGTAGATATCAGAGTAATATCTAATGTCAGAGTTTTGAGCGCTCCGTCATGTTAAGTCTTTACCTTAAAGACTTTTGATATTTCGATTTTGGAAGACACTAGTCTCACATGTCAAACCAAGCAGTACACTTTTAAAATAAATCATTCAATGCAACGAAAGCCAAAGCTAAAGTAAGGAGGAGGTCTACAATAGTTTTGGATTACTATCTGTTTGTGCTGATGAAGTTACAATAAACAGTGTGACAAAATAATACCATGGATCAATTTTCAGAAAGAAAATCAACAAACAATATAGCTCTTAAGCCCTCTCAGTGGGAAAGGACCAGTATTTTTGTTTTTTAAATATGCTTGCACTCAACACAATCTTTTCTTCTTTCATCCAAATCCAATTGATCTTAAGTGCTTATTAGATGGGACTCTAGGAAGGCTTTGTTTGTCAGCTGAAGGGAAGTTCTCTACAGTCAAAGTGTTGTGTTAGAGAGATATCCTGTATGCAAATTGGTCATTAACATTATAGATTTTTGGAGGTTTGGTTTATTGTAAATTTGCCCAGTCCACATTAGACTTTAGTCCATACAGGACATAAAAAATAGCACTGCAGAACTGCGAGATCTTGACCGTTACAGGTGTTTGCAATGACTTTTCCTGATTGCTCAGGTCAACGTATCCTCATACATCGGTTCTATGATGTTTTACGAAAAGTTCTACCTCATCTTTCTTACGTTCTCCTACAACACGTGTCAACAAACTTCTTGCACCGATTATTTCTTGACGACTGTGCTGTACCACTTTCTGGTGTGACCAGGTCTTAACATGTGCAATGACACGGATGCTGCGTTCCAGACAACTCTGAACTCTAATATGTCCGACCTCCTATGAGAAAACGTACAATGGAACGCCACTCAAAGTCAGAATTCCTATGAATTTGGGCAAATTCATTGACCGCGACTTCACGAACAAGCCTTCGTCTGACGTCACACAACAGTAGAAGTGCATGTTGTAAATGGTAAACCATCAACTAAAAGGTAATTTAAAGTATATTTGTCTGTATTTAATGAAAATAATTAATAGCTATCACATATGTTT